GGTACGTGCCCTTAGCGGGAACCGAACCCGGGTCTCTCAGGACCGCAGGCCGACACTCTAACCGCTGAGCCAAACCGGCCAGGGCTCTACTTATGTACTTAGTGTACACACACACAACACATGCACAATTCAACTTTACTAAAAAGGGATAGAATTTAAAGTTCCCAACTATTAATAGTTGACAGCAGTTATCAGTCAAGTTTCTCATTTATATTACTAAATAAATCCCACTGTTAGCTCATATTTAGAAGCCATTAAACATATTTTTTTTTTTTTAATTTTTAATTTTTAACTTTTTTTTTTTTTTTTCATACATTTTTCCATTTTTTGTACAGATAGAGTGGGAGGGAGAGAGAGGAAGAGAGAGAGAGAGAGAGAGAAACATCGATGTGAAAGGGACACATCGAGTGGCTGCCACCCGCACAACCAACCAGGGCCGGGGACAAACTGCAACCGAGGTACATGTCCCTAGCGGGAACCGAACCCGGGTCTCTCCGGACCGCAGGCCGACGCTCTAACCGCTGAGCCAAACCGGCCAGGGCGCCATTAAACATATTTATTCAAGTTTTCTTGCTGGCTGTTGATGCCATAAAGGCAATGACCAAGATCTATATCTTATAGTTCCTCCTCAGTTCTATAAGCTAAGTTCACTGTTTTACTATTTCCACATAGTGTTGCTAGTGCTTTTCTTTCCTTTAAAATTTGGGGGTTATTTCTGGGCTAACCTTCTCTAAAATATTCTTCTTCTGAAAATACAACCTCATTCTCTCATAATTTGACCTGCATATTTATAACAGAATCCTAGGAGTCATTCTTTTTTTTATAGGAATAATGTGTCAGTTATTTTTGAACCTATAACTTTAGGCACCTATTTAGGATGCCTTCCAAAAGATTAAGTAATGCCTTTTCCTCAGGAACAAAATACTAAAAAGATGACAGCACAGCACTGTGTTATAAAAAAAACATTTCAACAGCCCAATATTAATAAAAATATTCTGGTTTCTCCTGACACCATTGCTAAGGTATTAATTGTTCTTCTGAATTAATGACTGAATATGTTTCAACAAGAACATTCAAATTATTCATGACTATGGATGGCTAAAAGTACAAAATGAAGTATAAAATTAGATATTAAAGGAATTTACCCAGCCAGTGTGTTTCAGTGGGTGACTGTCGACCCATGTACCAAGAGGTCACCAGTTTGATTCCCGGTCAGGGCACATGCCCAGGTTGTAGGCCCAATCCCCAGTGGGGGGCATGCAGGAGTCAGCTGATGTTCTCTCGTTCTCTCTCTCCCCACCCCCTCTCTAAAATAAAAAATATATATATTTAAAAAATAAATAAATAAAATAGAAGAATTTTAAAAATCTCAAAATAAACCATGTAGAGAATTTATTAATACCTGACAATTATATCTTCTACATGTATTTTAATACTACAAAATAATTTGTCTTTGTTTTTATTTTCTCCTAGAAATTTTACATCTGATATTAGAGCTCAGGTTTACAACAGTAATGGTATTTGGGCTAGCTAGTGTTCCGTACTCAAAACAAAAATATGAATATGTCACCATTTTCAAGTGGGAAAGGTGACTCAAAAGTGAGTTACAAGCAAACAAACAAATATTCAAGAAAATCAATGTGAACATTCCTTGATTTTTATCTATAGTAATACCTCTTAGTACAAGCTGGATACTACTAGAGGATACTAACAAAATAAAAGAATGTCAAAATATTAAAACTTTTAAAATAATCTAATCAGGATTTCTTCATCTGGGGTTCAAATCAGAGGTGATATTCTGTGTAAGTGTACATTATATATATTTTTTTGGAAATAAAATCCTGGAAATTAAAAAATTTCATCACAATTTCAAAGAGATGCATGACTGAAAAGAGGCTGAGAACCATTATTGAGTTAATGTAGAGATGTGATAAGCGAGACTCAAAGAAATGAAATTATTTGCCCATGGTCAAATAAGCAGCAAGTATCAGCTCTAGTACTTAAGACTTCTTTTCACTAAAACATAAACAGCTCTAAAAAGACTTTCTTTGTAAACATATATTTATGAGAAAAACAAATCTGTATGACCTAAGAGCTGTGAAGGAAAGTCTCAGGCTGATAATAAAAAGAATACCAAGACGGCAGATGAGAGGCATAACTTCAGAACAATTCATCCAGAATAGAGCAGGAGGACAGAGTTCTAAGAGGGCCAATTCCAAGAAAGAAAAAAAGGAGCTGATACAATACCTGAATGTGACTGCAACAAAAGGAGTTTTACAGTTCCAATAGAGATTTTGGAAAATTAGAAAAACCAAGCAAAAGGGGAAAAAGTTGCACAGACAGGAAATCTTATAGTATATTATATGATACAGCTCTAAACAATGCATATGCAAACATAAGCCGTGAATACTGATTTAACTGAAATTTACAGTCATTGGGAGGATTGGGGAGGAGGATTGAGGAGAGCTCACAAAAAAAGCTAAATCTTTATCATATAATCAGAAATCAACAAATAACATCTACAATAAAATAATCAAATAAAGACATGGTAAAAATGCTTAAAAACATAAAGAGCCCTGGCCGGTTTGGTTCAGCGGTTAGAGTGTCAGCCTGCAGACCAGAGAGTCCCGAGTTCGGTTTCCGCTAAGGGAACGTACCTTGGTTGCAGTTTGTCCCCTGCCCCTGTTGGGGTTATGTGGGTGGCAGCCACTCAATGTGTCTCTCTCACATCGATGTTTTTCTCTCTTCCCCTTCTCTCCCTCCCACTCTATCTGAAGATAAATGCAAAAATGTCTTCGGGTGAGGATTAAAAAAATATAAATAAATAAAAACAAAAAGAAAAAAACCACGAAAAAAGCCCAAACAGTGTTATTCAACAGGGCACTAATGCATTTTGAGCAGGGTAATTTTTTGTTGGATGGGGCTTAGAGCACAGGTCAGCAAACTGAGGCTTTGGGCCAAATCTAGCCCACTGCCTGTAATTATAAATTGTTTTATTAGAACACAGCCATGCCCATTCATTTCATTAATTTACATATTGTCTATGGCTGTTTTTGTCCTATGACATTAGTAAGTAGTTGCCATAGAGATCTTATAATCCTCAAAGCCTAAAATAGTTATTATCTGGCCCTTTACAGAAAAAATTTGCCAACTCTAGTTTACTGTATTACTTTACATGTCAGTTATTCCCCCAAAAGTAACTGTGAAAACCAAAGCTTCACATTCCACATTTTCAACCAATCCTCCGTAACTCCCTTCTAGAAATGAGAAGTAGAACTTTGGTTTGAGAACCACTGAGCTATAAAAAATTTAAAATGATTGTCTCTGGGGAGCAGAACTCAGAGATCAGGTAAGGACAGAGAGTGAGGGAATATGGGGGGCTGCTTTTTCCCCAATAATTCTTGAAACACTAATTAATTTTTTTGAAATATTCACATGTATTTCTTTAAGAAAATTTAATTTTAAAGCAAAAGAAAAAATACAGAGGAATCAAATCTGGTTAATGATTCTGGTGACTCTCTAACATAAAATGTGTGATTACATTTGCTAGATATAAATTATGACATCTGCTATATTTGCTCTGGAGAATATTTTTGTTGCACATATCCAAAGCTGCTAGGTAAATGACGCTCAGATAAGAAGGGTGTCACTGTGCCAACTGAATGTGAGTATAATATTTTAAACCCCTGGATTCCAAGAAAAGTCAGTCATGCTAGTACATTCTACAAATGATCTTCAGTGAAGTTTGAAATGTTTAACATAAAGTCAAATAGATAAAATGTTTAATAAACATTAGCAACTCTTATTAGTAGAAATTAAGAGGAAAGCTTTCAAAGATCTATGTGGTAAATAAAAACATTTCTGGTTTACATTTCTTTAATTCAGTTTTCTTTTAAATTGATTGGAAGTGTAAAAGTAAGGATGACACTAAACTAGAACCACAAAAGATTGAATTAACAGTATGATCAATACTTCCATTTAGTACTTCCAATTTAATACCTTATATGAAAAATGTGATATTGTATCACTGTGGTATGTTCTACCCAGAAAAGAAAGAACACATCCAAAAATAGACAGTGTCCTTAGGTTTGACTAATTTTTAAAGTGTTCTAATTACCACTTATTTCTAATTCAACTAAATGTTAAAACTGTCTAATCTTCCCACACATAGGAAAAGCTTTAAATGTACATTTTGTTAATAGGAACCCGAAGAATAAGAATCAAATGTTTTAAAATGTGAAAATAAACATAGTTCACTACATACACTGAAATTCTAAGATACTACATATAACAATATTAATTTTAAAGAGTATAAATCACACTTAATAGTAAACAGTACACTATTTTTTTTTAAAGGCATTTATTCTCCAATTTTATAAAAAAAACATTACATTGGTAAAGCATATTTTGAAAAGTACAGAATGACACAGCTAGTTAAGTGGTCACAACTATAATCCTAAAACATCAAAATAAACATTTTAACATTTTAACATTTTAACATTTCAGTTTGGAAAATACAATCTCTATTTTACTGAAAAGATTCAGTTGCTGAATTGTAACTTATAAGAAACAGATTAAGTTCCTCTTGATATAAAATAGTTCTAAAATTATAACAGCTCTGCTAACCTAGCTTTCTTTGTAAAGAAATACAAGAAAAATTTTAATGCTTTTATAAAATACTAATTATATTCATAATCCTGGACATTATAACTAAAAATAATTAATCTAGCTATTTTGAAAATGTAAATTAAAAAATGAAGAAAAAATATTTTAGGCATCATCCTTCTAATTTATTTAGAAGTAAAACTGGCACAAGGAAAACCAATATATAATTCCCCTTTCCATTCAACAGATCCTGAAATCTATCTGTCATTATATTAGGTAATATTTGACATAAATGCATAGCACGCACATACCACAGCACCCTCCCCCCTCCACACACACAAGCATTTTTAGAATAAAAACATTTCAAAGGTTAAAAGCTTTGATTATCAACTTACTTTTTTTTGATACCAGACTATAGCATCAGTGACTTTGGACGCCATTTATTCTACTGATATCACACATTCGTCATTTTAAGCTGTTCAAGAGAGAAAAACATACAAATGACTTTACTTCCACCTTCCAAAAGGAAACGGAGCAACATGCATATCTAGCACTCTGGTTACTTCTACAGCAAAGGGTGTATGACTACACTTATATTACACCCTTCCTCATTACTATTTTAGCAACAGGTTCTCTTAAGTAAACAAAATCAGTTGCCATAATAAAACAAGGATCTTTCCATGTAAATATAACACTTGAATTTTCTTATAAAATGGTTTCTGTTTTTAATTAGCTTTTTAAATATATTTCAGAATTTCCTAGGTTATACTGAAAGATTTTCATTTATAAATTCACATATGATAGGAATTCAGTCAGTAACAGGTAAGTTTTGCTATAGATTCTATCTAGGAACTAATGTCAATTACTATTGGTAAAGGATAGCTTGATAGGGATGTCAAAATTCATAATCATATTTACTTTTCCAAAACTCAGTAAACAAAACTGAACTAAAGTCAAATAACTGGAGAAACATAATTTATATTAAATACTAAGAAAATATTAGAATTAATTACATAGCAATAATTAATATGAACTTCCCCAATATCACAGTTTGCTAATAGTTAGAAATTTACCACAGACTATTTCATAAGTATCTTTTTTGTGTTTGTGTAAAACAGTTTTCAGAAAAGAATCAATTACTAGAGAGAATTAATTCCAGACTGATTCCAGTAATACTTTTTCTAGTTGTAAGACCAGGCTGGATGGAGACAGCACCTCTGGTATGGTGTTAAGAATGAGCCTAAACAGCTTCAAACAGAAATATTTGCCCCAGAACACATTACAAACCAAGATCATTCAAGGCCACCAGGATCTCAGGGAAATCCTGGAAGCAAAGCACCCATCTGAGCTGATCCTAGCACATGCAGATCTTCAACTTGAGAGATTCTACCACTACACAATTTGCCCAGAGCCAACAAAATACCAGAGGTTTATTTATCATTCTTGGGTGTATATCAGGATTCAAATGTAATAATAATTATCAGCAAATTCAAATGTTCAGATGATCAACCTCTAAAATTTAAGGCAGAATTTACTTAATGCCTGTATTTTTGACAGTGCTATAGATCAGATTATTTTGTTACTTTTCCTAAGATACTGATTCCATCTTTTAAAAAATATTTATGTTTTTATTGATTTCAGAGAGAGGAAGAGAGATAGAAATTTCAATGAGAGAAAAACATCAACTGGCTGTCTCCTGCAAGCCGCCTACTGGAGATCAAGCCTGAGCATGTACCCTGACCAGGCCTGGAACCAGCAACCTCCTGGTGCATGGGACAATGCCCAACCAATTGAGGCACACCAGTCGGGCCTGATTCCATTTTAACTGCTCAAATCCAAGCAAACCATATTCTGAAATTCCTGACTAACGCCCTGGCATTTGTTATAACAGGAGCAAAGTCAAAAGACCAGGATTCAGATATTGGCTTCCTCTATCTCATATGTAATATTGAAGGAGTTACTTAGTCTCTTGGACATCAGTTTCTTTCACTTGTACAATAGGAATCACTGCATCTATCCATCCCTTGACAAGAAAAAAAAATTACTGAGATATTCTAAATTAAACTTACAGCTGCTGAACAGTAAGAGAAATTGACAGAAAAGTTAGGCTGTAAATAGTTGTAGACCAGCTCTGACAAAAGACTGCTCACATTCCTGTATACCTATTGGAATTTAGGATCAATTTCCAGGTGGCTATTTCCATGATTGTCCAAAAGCAAGAAGAGCCAGGTACCATAGAACCTCAGAAGCCTCCGTTTTTTTACACATGAACTTTCCAATCTGCTGTCCACAGTTAATCCACAGGAGCAAACATTTCTATGTGGACTCTGCCGCACCTATCCTAGAATTAGCCCAACTTCTCCCATCCTCTGTCTGTAGCTAATATAAATCCTTTCAAACAGCTTACAATTTTCTTCCCTCTACTTGATGTATATAAAAACCCCTGCAAAACTCTAGGATGATGGCAAGACATATTTTCTTTCCTACCTAACCATACTTGTGGTGGTTTGACTCCATGCCTAAATTGGTGTGTGTGTTTTTTTGCTACCAATGGCCTTAAATACTTTTTAAAAAAGAATTTCAGCCCTGGCCAGTTTGCTCAGCGGTTAGAGCGTCAGCCCGAAGACCAGGAAGTGCCGACTTCGGTTCCCACTAAGGGCACGTACCTCGATTGCAGTTTGTCCCTGGCCCCGGTGGGTCCGTGTGGGTGGCAGCCACTCAATGTGTCTCGCTCACAGCATGTTTCTCTCTCTCTCTTTCCCACTCTCCCTCCTGCTCTATCTGAAGATAAATGCAAAAAAAAAAGTCCTCAGGTGAGGATAGAAATAAATTAATAAATAAATAAAATAAAAACAATTTCAGCTGTGGAAGTTAAAAACGTGTTTAATATCCTTATGGGGGTTTTGTGACTGAAAAGGTAATATACATTATATGTTTACCACAGTCTAGTACATACAAATGTTCAATTATAATTATTATTAATGTTTTATTTATTTATTATTATTTATTTATTTTTATTTTGTTACAGATGTTTCTCCTTTTTTACCCCATTGGCACCCCCCTCCCCATCACTCCCACCCCGTCCCCGGCTTTGTTGTCCATGTCCATTGGTTATGCATACATGCATATAAGTTCTGTGGTTTATCTCTTCCCACCCCCTCTTCTGAGGGATGTCAGTCTGTACCCTACTTCCATGTTTCTGGGTCTACCGTATTCCTCAGACTGTTATGTTCATTATATTCCATATATAAGTGAGATCATGTGGTATTTGTCTTTTTCTGCTTGGCTTATTTCACTGAGGATAATACTTTCCAGGTCCCTCCATGTCGTCTCAAAGGATAAGAGATCTTTCTTTCTTACAGCTGCATGGTACTCCATTGTGTACATGTACCACTGCTTTTGTATCCATTCGTCTACTGATGCACACTTAGGCTGTTTCCAGATCTTAGCTATTGTAAATAGTGCTGCTATGAACATGGGGGTACATATATTCTTCCTGATTGGTGTACCAGGCTTCTTAGGGTATATTCCTAGAAGCGGGATCACTGGGTCAAATGGAAGTTCAATTTTTAATTTTTTGAGGTAACACCATATTGTTTTCCATAGTGGCTGCACCAGTCTGTATTCCCACCAGCAGTGCACTAGAGTCCCCTTTTCTCCACACCCTCGCCAACACTTGTTGTTTGATGATTTGTTGATGGCGGCCATTCTGACAGGTGTGAGGTGATACCTCATTGTTGTTTGAATTTGCATCTCTCTGATGATTAATGATGTAGAGCATCTCTTCATATGTCTCTTGGCCATTTGTATGTCCTGTTTGAAGAGGTGTCTATTCAGCTCCTCTGCCCATTTTTTAATTGGGTTCTTTGTCTTCCTTTTGTTGAGTTGTATGAGTACTCTATATATTTTGGAAATAAACCCCTTATCTGATGGATCATTGGCAATGATGGGATTATTTTTTTCACTTTCTCTTTCTGTGAGTTCATCATTGGTGTATACGAATGCCGTCAATTTCTTGACGTTTATTGTGTATCCTGCTACTTTGCCAAATGCATTTATTAAGTCTAGTGTATTTTTGATGGAGTCTTTAGGGTTTTCTATGTACAATATCATGTCATCTACAAATAATGACAGTTTCACTTCCTCCTTTCCAATATGGATCCCTTTTATTTTTTCTTCATGTCTGATTGCTGTGGCTAAGACTTCCAGTACTATGTTAAATACGAGTGGCGAAAGTGGACATCCCTGTCTTGTTCCTGTTCTTAAGGGAAGTGTTTTTTGTTTCTGCCCATTGAGTATGATGTTGGCTGTAGGTCTTTCATATACAGCCTTTATTATGTCGAGATATGATCCCTCTATTCCCACATTGCTGAGCGTTTTGATTAGAAATGGATGCTGGATTTTGTCGAATGCTTTTTCAGCATCTATTGATATGATCATGTGGTTTTTATTCTTCATTTTATTTAAGTGGTGTATCACATTTATTGATTTGCAAATATTATACCAGCCTTGCATCACTGGAATGAATCCCACTTGGTCATGGTGAATAATTTTTTTGATGTATTGCTGGATACAATTTGCTGGTATTTTGTTCACGATTTTGGCGTCTGTGTTCATCAGGGATATTGGCCTGTAGTTTTCTTTCTTTGTAGTGTCTTTTTCTGGTTTTGGAATTAGAATTATGCTGGCCTCATAAAAAGAGTGTGCAAGTCTTCCTTCTTCTTGAATTTTTTGAAATAGTTTGAGGAGAAAGGGTGTTAGTTCTTTTTTGAATGTTCGGTAAAACTCCCCTGTGAAGCCAATCGAAGCCAATCTGGGCTTTTGTTTGCTGGGAGAGTCTTGATTACCTCTTCAATTTCCTTAGTTGTTATTGGTCTGTTCAAGTTTTCTATCTCTTCCCGGTCCAGTTTTGGGAGACTGTGTGTTTCTAGAAATTTGTCCATTTTGCTTAGATTGTCGAATTTATTGCCATATAGTTGTGCATAGTAGCTGTTAATGATCTTTTGTATTTCTGTGGTGTCGGTTGTTACTTCTTCTCTTTCATTTCTGATTTTGTGCATTTGGGTTCTCTCTGTTTCTTGATGAGTCTAGCTAAGGGTCCATCAATCTTGTTTATCTTTTCGAAAAACCAGCTCTTTGTTTCACTGATCCTTTGAATTGTTTTTTTGGTCTCCATGTCACTTATTTCTGCTCTGATCTTTACTATTTCCTCCCTTCTACTTGCTCTGGGGTTTTCTTTTTGTTTGCTTTCTAATTCTTTAAGTTGTGAAGTTAGACAGTCAATTAGAAATTTTTCTTGCTTCTTGAGGTAGGCCTGTAGTGCTATGAACTTCCCTCCCAGAACTGCTTTTGCTGCATCCCATAGATTTTGTGCTGTTGTGTGTTCATTTTCATTGGTTTCCAGGAAGTTTTTAATTTCCTCCTTGATTTCCTCAGTAACCCATTCATTGTTCAATAGCATGGTATTAGCCTCCA